CTACTGTACAGCCCGCGAGGAGTCTCTGAAAATTACCTTTAGTGATCTCAGTTCGGATACACTTCTGATCCTCTGCCGGAGTCGATTTCAATGCCTTCAGTGCGCCAGATGCGAACTGAAAGCAAAAGGGCTTTCAGTGGAATGAAATCCTATTGGAAGCAGTAATGGCAATGCTTACAGTCCTACAAATTGTGCAGTCCCTGAGAGGTCCATGACGATCCCATGCCACCTGGTTGAGATCATTTTGACTGAGAACACAGCGGTCATTTCTATTACCCTCATCGATGCTTGGCGAGAAACACGCCAGTGCTGCTCGTCTGAAAAGAAATCATTCTGAGATACGAAAGGTTCAGTGAAAAAAAACATTCCGTGATCGGCGGTCTTAAAGCTGCTAAATACCATAACGGAGGCACTGGGTGATGGAAAAGGGTGAGGGTTCGTAGACCCTGACACACACCAAGGAGGTGCTGTTGCCCTCCTATGCCTTTACCGTCTGCACTATTACCCGAGGGAGCATATGTTGACGTCGCCAGGGAGAGATTTAATCATATAAATCACAAAAATTTGATCCTAAGAAACAGCTCATACCTCCCGTGCTCTCGGATCTCGTTCTCGTACAGCATGTAGTTCTGGTCGATACTGCGCTTCATACACAGGAGATATTGCCCAAATGTCTCTTTAGTTCCTGCTGGACTTGAGCAGTCCTGTGCCAGCACGGATGCCACCTGCACAAAACTAAGTTAGTGTTCGTTTCGAAATGGCAAACAGAGCTCGAATACATAAATAAGTCCGTCGAAGGCTTATGTTTCTTTCAAACTTAAAGGCAGTGGGCACGACGGCTGGGAGCGGGCGGTTGCACTCACTGCCATTGGTAGAGGATCTACCAGAAGGCGTTTGGCCACAGGCCACTCACCCTTCCACCAGTGACGTTGGCAGTAGCCGCCCGTCCCGATCGTGCCTACTGCCTTCGAGCCCAGCTCTTTGAGTGCAGGATCTCTTTCACAGGTAAAATACGCTAGGTGTTGAATGTGCGACTTTCAGCATACAAGTGAGGATTCCATCCACACAAAACAGGCGCCGATGGTGCCTTCTCGTGACAAAGAGCAAGTGCATTGCGCACTGGATCCCATGTGCAACCCCCCCCCATTCAATGTGATGAGCATCAGTACATCCCCCATCGTTCGTGGTTGCGCGGTCGCGCGATCAATTGTTGGGTTTTTGACAACTGGCAGATGCCACTTTTGTTCGCTCATTGCTCGGGGTCGGTTCTGAAACTGGTAACTGGCGGGACTCAAGTCATCTGAAACGTGAAAATCGATGCCTGCTAGGCGTTGCTTTCAGGCATTAACGAAGGCAGTGTCCGGACACTAGCCAACGCATTTCCTAGCCGACAAACAGTGACGCTCGTGTAGCGAGCCAGTTCCGAGAGAGATGAAGAAAATCGTCCATGCTTTGTACCTTTCTTACCTACCCCGCTTGCGCTCATGTGTGTGAATGGGCCAATCATAGTCGAAATTCTCAAAACAAAGGCAGCCTCCTCTCAACAAATACTTCAACTTCACTTGCGCCACGGGGAAGCGGAGCGAGCGGTATAGCGGCTAGCGTTTGTTGACAGAAAGTGATAGCCATTTCGCTAAGGTGTTTCAATTTCTCTCATGAACGAACGCTATATTTACGCTCATAGTCGTCTTTGGTTACTACACTTTTCTATGATTATGTTTCTGAATTGACTTGCGTATGTTTGTCTGATTTACTAGGAACTTACGCGCTCTAATTAAATTTATTCGTCATGGAGTTTAGGCCGGTTCAGTCGACGGCGAGGGGGGGGTGTATTCACAATTTAGCGAGAGAGTTGACCAGGTTTTACCATGCTGGCCGTCGAGCTTGCTCCGGCTGCACAAAGTTTCGCAGGTTCACCACAGGATTTAGTGAAGCACAAGAAGTGCAAAATCCCTTCTCCTCACCCCGGTCACCATCTCACATCTTCTGGGTTTAACATAATGGTTCCTTGCGCTTGCCTTTGACCGATGTACCAAGGAGACTCTCCCATTATGCCTTATTGAAGTCTCGACGTGCATACAGTTTTGGAAGCTTTGAACCTTGCGAGCATCACTGTATTCAGGTAAAGCCGCACAAGGAGCGCAAGCGTTACCCTTGGCGTAATGGGCCAGATTCACGGACCCAATTTCGTGGGGATGTAATTCATGTGTCAGACGCGCGATCACCGGTTGCACTTTGACATGAATTCGCACGTCTCCACGGTCGGGCTAGCTCGGGTACTTAGAGCAGTGCTGTGGCGTAGTCCTCTGAGATGGCAGAACCACTGGCTGCTCCTGCTCCCCACAGGTCATTGTCTAGACCAGAGTGGGTTGAAAATACCAGAGTCATCCATAATAGCTATTCTGTAAGGATGCTAAATACGAGGCGCATCCATCGTCTAAAGCCCTCTCTTGCTGCAAAGAAAGAACAAAAAAAAACTCACGGCAAGTGCAGAGAGAGCGACGATCCGCATCATCTGAAATACCCTCGAATCAACAGGTAACGGTAAAGGTGGTTCATTCAACGATTTTGACGCCGGGATCAAAGGCAAGTCAAAGGAGCTTTCCGGAGAGATGAGAGGGGGGGGTGTGGTTGATGCAGATCACGGAGAGCTCATAACTACGTCAGTTTTGCAAGAAAGGGCATGCTAACGGAACAGGAAGATGTGCTTGTAGTTGCAACAGGCTACAACAGGGCATGTTTCAAATATGCATGAAGGAATCGGAAAACAAAGGTATGAATAGTAAGTAAGATACTGTAGCTAACATAGTACGCTATCACAGAAGTGGTGTTATTGTGCGTTCAGAATGGTCATGAGCCGGGGGATGTGATAAGAAAGGGGTGGGATTATGTGAATGTCAAATAATGATTGATAGACTACGATGACAGTGGGGATTGTCGACACAATAGCATGAGTACCAATGCAGAGATGTTAGGAACTGGTTCTCCTAGAGAATGGGAGAGAGAGGGCAACGAAGGAGATGACACGTTGACCGGGCAGCCGACGACGACAAGTTCATTCGTCAACTAATCGACGAAAATCTTCGAATACATAGCCACTAATCGAATTTTGCTGACACTGGACTGGGTAAGTATCGGAAGCGAAGCGAGAATGTGTCACCGCTGTGATATCTATGATGACACGGATAGTGCCTTAATAAAGGCATACTAGGTTTTATGGGTTTAGCGCAAGAACCGAACTGATCGTCGAGCGTCCAGTCCCGAAGAAGAATCGTTACCGCCCCTCGCAGCCGGGCCGCATAGAAGTGGATGACCCAAAAATCGCTCTAGAGACAGAGATAACGGATATGCTGACCAAGGACACGTACAAACATAAACCTTCTCACAAACTACAATCAGGGGGCCGTGTTAATGACCGCAGCGGCCACGGTACCGTCATCTTCCAGTTTTGTTCTTATATAGAGCATTAACGACACTTAAATGAATCACTCTATCCAAGGTCGTCGTCAAGGCGTCATCGAAGAGGATTTGTCAGTCGTGCGCGATATCGCAAGTGACGAACCACAAATACAAAAACTGGCATCATTAGTCATTAGCACCCGGCTAGAGGGTTGAGTAGCTCGGCTAGATCCAGAGTCATCTCCTAAAAATGGCTGAGGAACTTTGACCAGGATGTGGTTAGTGAGTCTCATATTTATTAGAGATTTGTAGATAGTAGGAAGGTCGACTCTATCTCTGTAAGATAGAGGGGGAGCGGTTGCCACTCCACTTAAAAGGCAGCAGCTGCGTTTCTGGTAGTATATCCCCCTCTTGAGGCAATTATATTAGGTTGTTCGGAAAGGAATGCGCGTTGACTTTGTCTATTTATTTCTCTTCTACTATAGGAGATTTTTCAAAACAGTTTTGTCCATTAGAGAAGAGGTTTTTATTGCG